CACTTATTTGTTGTTGCGATGAATGGAGGCGTCAAGACGTGAGCTGACTCCTGTACCTACTGCAGCCCGTTGACTTTCGTAAATTATGATAAATGCCCGGCCGATGCATTTCGCATCAAGAAGAAAAATTCTGCATTTTCACTCGCTTTGCAAGTCAACGAGCGCGACATTCAGTAAACATTTGTGTATTCCATAATTTCACTCTGCTTCTATAGTATGATTTCCACAATTTGCTCTTTGCCATAATAATTGATACGAATCACGCTATGTGAATTAAGTTGTTTTCACAGCACAAGCTGTCTGATAAATGGCTTCGAGTCAGTAGTCATTCGACAACGCAGCAGGTGTGCGTAACGGTTCTTTTGTGCTCGCACTTGCTAGCAGCGCGAGCTACGCTCAAGACGTTTGTGGCAGCTCCGACTCGCTGGCTGTGATGCCGTGTTTAAGTTGTAAACCTGTTGTTTGAGTTATTAAACCAGGCATTAAACCTATACATAAATGTTATAGTTCTTACGACGGAGACTAACAATAATGATTTTATTTAATAATAATTATCTAATAATTAATAATTTTCAGTTCGACTCGCTATCATAGCGTTATAACCTCTATATTAAATCCCCTAGGTATGAAATATTGGTGAATTTTTTTATTACTTGGTTGCCTATTAAATCACTCGATCCTTTCTTTGTTTTGTGAATTTTATATAACTATTATATTTTTTTGTTCATATATTAAATTCTATCTTTTGATTCAGCTATCTGGCGCTAAACGACAGGCTCTCCGACTGTTACAGTCGTAGGACACAGTAGCCAATGTAGTGTTAAGCGAGATGGAACTTTGGCTAATCTCGAGCATGACTGAGCGACTTTTTAATATTATATTATTAACCTATTAATTTCTAGAATATCGTCCATATAATTCATTGTCATCTCTAAAACTACAGACCATCCGCTGACCGCTGTGGAGACGTGCGCCGGGCCTCGAATGTGGCGCACGTCTCTCACTGCGGACAGCGCTTCATACTTGAACATTCCCGCGGTCGCGTGCGCATATCCGCGGAAACTGCGCGTCTCATCGCGCGCAGCGCTTAGGATCAACAGCAAAGCTGTGCCACGCAATCTTGTATCATGCTCTCTCTGGATGCGCGCGCGGTCGCTGCTTGGCGCTGACTGATGCGCAGCCTCTCCGGGGTAAGAGGATTGAGGATAAGCCTCGTAGACCAGCTTACGATGAAGGCTAAGTCCTTCAGCTTGCAACTTGCTCTTCGGTGCTGTAGAAAGCAGACGAGGAGGTGGTTAGCGACCACAGGGCACGACAGCAACGACCAGCAAGGCACGATGGTGTGTTTAACGAACGCTGGCACAGTAGAACAGTTCGATCGGGTCTTGTGCGAGCAACGGTATTGACTCGGCGCACTTGTATAGGAAGACAGCCAACACGGCGAGACACCACCTAATGTCCAACGGCGTGTCGCGTGGTTGCGCTTGTGCTGCTGGCTCTCATGTATGTTTGGTGTGCTCGCGGAGCGTACAGCGCCAAGCCCGAGGCCAAGCAGAGCACCGCACAGTCTGGCCAGGAGTGCAGAGTGCCGCCCTGTTAAGATGCCACCCAGGCTCGGTTATCACATGAATGTAAGCGCTTTGACTACGGACACAGTCCGGGTTGATGCCGACCAATCAGTGAGACGTACAGTCCGTAGGCTACAGCCGCAGCCCAGAGCGACGTAATGATGTAGGTGCGCACTGCCACGCTGAGAGCGCAACGCGTTGACATGGCAGCCAGCCAGCAGCATCCCTGCAGCAACACGCGATAGGTGGCGGTCAATGATAGGCCAGGTAACGCAAGGAAATCGTATCGCATTGCGCGTCGACAAACGAAGAAAGTCAGAGCAGCAAAAAACAAACAGTTACAGTGAAATATATGTATATATATATACTCTCAAACTTTTCCGCAGTTACTAGGACACTATACGAATGCAGTATCGTGATCTGACACTCACCACAGATGACGCCAGCGAGGAGACCTGGTGTGGGAAGTGAGCAGCTAGAGAGAGTCGGACAGACAGACGAGCGATAGCAGATGGGAGAAGGTTGACAAACTGCCGTCTAGACCAGCGGATGGGCATCTCTTCTGGTCGACCAAACGTGCTTCTCCAGTTTCTTAAGCAATGCTGTTGCCAGCACGCCACCAGACAGCACAGTAATCATGCGTGGCCAGACGGGTTACTATAAAACCCACATATACAACGGCGATTAGAATATGTCGTAATTATAATATAATTACTAATGAAATAATGCAAAATATACTAAAATGGCAAAATTTCATAATAACAAGCGCATAGCATATATGCAAGCTCACGCATTTATTAGTAGAAGCCTCGGTGTAGGCTAGGCCTACGCTAACAGGTCCGGTCTCACACCGTCATGGTACTGCTGGGTGGAAGGTACAGAGACGTTGGGATGAGCCTGGGCCATTTCAACAGCATACCAGTACGGCCTGTCCCCGAATAACAGCCTACAAAACAGAAGTAAGCATGATTGAGACGGGGGTGTTGAAATTGGAGATTGATTTTATAAAAGGATTATCCAGTAGAGCTGTTAGAAACCATCTATGTCAGTCCGTATAACAGAGTTGATGAGCCGATGCAGAATAAGATATCATGAGTTGAAGCTTAAGTACATAGATGTAGAGCTAGGTCACTAAGTAATCAGATATCTGGAACTTTACTGAATAGAAGCCAGACTTACGATCACTCACCATTTAGGCACAAGTTGCAGCACCTCTCGAGTACCCGATCCCACAGCCAGTCTGATGCCCCACTTGTGCTGCAGGCAGAGAGCAGTGCGAAGTAGACGACAAACAGCTTGGCCGGATCACAGTATCTCGACCAGGCGCAACAGCTGTTCCTCTCTACTTGCCATCAGCGTTCTGCAGTCACGATAGACTCCAGTCCCTTCCAATCAAGCTCTCCATCGGCGTTGAAGTTTTCCGCTTCGACACTGCGTCCATAACCTTCTCTATTCGATCGTAAAATCTTTTCTTGACAAATATGGTAGTTCTCGATGTGTTGTGTTGGCGTACATTTGATAGCGCCGCTGCCTTATTACACGCGGCGCTAGTCATGCAGGCATGCGTGGCACGTAAACAAATAGCACGCGTGTATGCTGCCACGCAACACGCGCTCACCGCTCCGTGATTCATGAGAATGCACGTCACTGCACCTGGCGCTGCGTTTCATACGCCCGCGCTGAGAGTTCATCTAGTAGTTTAGGAGCTCCCAGATCATGCTGAACTGCGTCGGCACGGGTGGAGTAAACGTACATTGAGAATTGCAGAGCGAAAGCGTCTGCAGTCTCGGCATTCTTTTACAGGCTACGACTACTCTACGACTCTACTTTCTGTGCGATTCGGTTATGCGAACACCGTCATTGATGATAGACGGGGGTAGGAGGGTAGTTTAACGTCTCTCGATCTTCACACGTAGGCTAATCAACCGATCTTAGACAGTGCATGCGGTCGAAGGCGTCGTGTATAATATAGACGCGCGCTTCATTCTAGTATATCTGCTACGACATACATTAAGCACAACAGTACGTAAGTGCCTCTTCTTCCTTCTC